GTGGGAGTAATTATCTATGCATGGTTCTAAATCTCAATTTGTTAAATCTGTTTAAAATTAATGAATGTCTCCATTTGTTGTACTCTGTACCCTAATGCGTACTACATATTTACATATTTCTATGCATTTTCGGTTATATCAGCCAGTTACATTTTCTGGTCTCAAGTTAGATCATTGTAAGTTTGTAACATATCTCTCAACTAAAATTAAGGTTAGTTGTTTTTCTTAAAAGAGATAGTTTAGTTGCACCTGCCCGGATTGTGGGATAAAGATGTGTGCACGCACCAAGGAACAACAAGAGTCATTGACAAGAGCATAACTTAGTCAAAATCTGTAACCAAAATCCACCAAGGAGCAACAACAGTCCAAGATTTTACATGTTTGTGGCGCGGATGTTTTTTGGCAGGATATAGATCACAATAGAATTGCATTCATGTTTGTGGGACTGTCGTTCTTTTGTGCTATTAATTAAAACTTTCTCTCATTTGAGTATGTATCTATTGTTTGCCAGGTCAATCTGTTTATGTATCTATTGGAATCATTTTCATGAGTGTAAAGGGCCACTCTTAGTTGGCGATGAGTGCACGAGCATATGAATTCTGCAGTATGGCATCTATCGGAAAATCAAAGTTTCAGTCATAACAGAGTCGCTTTCTGCAGTATGGCATCTATCGGAAAATCAAAGTTTCAGTCATAACAGAGTCGCTTTGGGCTTAAGGCTGCCTGCTAGTAGTCCTACTTTCCAAGGAACTTCAGTACAAAAGAGAGTTGCCATATTTCACAATTTATTGGTCTCTATAATGTAAATTATAGTGTGAATTAGAAATAGCTGATACATTTGGGCATTACAAATTTACAATTGGTAACAATGTTTATTTATGTCAACTTATGGAGGTGCAGATGAGCAAATGAGTAACCTGAGAAGGATACTAATTTTGAAATGCATGGAGGAGCATATGAGCAAATGAGTAACTTTGAGAAGGATGTTGATTCTAATATGCATGGAGTAGATTAGCGAGCTTTTTAGGACGGATAAATTGATGCCTGGTAAAGAATTTGCATGGCCAAATGTAATGGTAAGGAGGCCGCCTCATTCACAAAAATAGAAGGACAAGCCCGGTTCATTACCAACAACATAGTCTATAGATTCGAAGTCCTTGAAATAATCACTACCGATAATGGGACCAATTTAAAAAATGAGAAAGTAACAAGGATGTGCAAAAAATTCGGAATAGAGCAGAAATTCTCTTCACCATATTATCATCAAGAAAATGGTCAAGCATAAGCAACTAACAAGATTCTCCTAAAGAGTATCGATCGAACTATAGAAGGTGTTAAGGATTGGCACAAAAATCTATCAGCTGCACTCTGGGCCTATAGAACCACTAAGAAAACAGCCTCAAGGATGACTCCCTACTCATTGGTCTATGGCATGGAGGCAGTACTTCCAATTGAGGTGGAAATACCTTCTCTTAGGATACTTGCTCACAAGGAATCAGATCACAAACGATATGCTAAAGCCTGACTGGCCACTCTCGAAACACTGGATAAGAGACGACTCTGAGTAGCTAATGATTGGAAATGATTTTGCTTGTCTAGGATCAATAAAACTATCCAAAACCCCCCTCTAATTATTGGAAATGATTTTTCTTATGATTTTATATAAGACATTGCATAATCCAATGGTTCTAAAAACTTTCATAACACTTAAGGAGTTCATCTTAAGAATGAAATATATAAACGTAGAATTGATTTGATTGAGAATTTTATCTTTCTTGAAGAAATCATTCAATGCCACAAAGAGATCCTTTTTTATCACCTTCCAACTGAATTTGTAAAATTCAACAGATAAATCATCCGGACCCGGGGTGCTTTCGCTCTTTATATCTCAAATACATGCTTTTATTTCCTCTGAAGTCACTACCTCAATTAATTGCATCTGCTGGTTAGAGTTTAGCATAACATGGGCAAAATTTGATTTGCCTGATGAAGGTTAACATTATTTTCCTGTGTAAGTAGGTCCTCAAAGTAGCCAGACATATGTTTCTCAATATCTAACTCAGTAAGAGATACCTTGTTTTGATCCTTGAGAAGCATAATTGTACACTTTCTCTTTTGATAACGGTGAAAAAATTTTGTGTTAGCATCGCCATCTCTCAACCACACCCTTCTCGATTTATGTCTCCATATACTTTCTTCAGGAATCAATAATTGCTACAATTGTCTCGAACATTCATTCTCCACCAACATAAGAGAATTATTAGAGGGATCACAACCGAAACTGTCACGGATACTAGAAAGTTGTCGACAAACTGCTGAAATAGACTCCTCCATATATCCATATAACCAAAAGATGTTTTATTCCACTCACGTAAATCCTTCCTCAATCTTTTCAACTTTGTGACAAAATGAAAAATTATCTATTTCATTTCTATATCAGCAAAGGTAATTATGTAGGCTTCATTTGGCAAATTGTTTGTATGCCTATGAATATAGGATACAATATCTTGCGTTGGGTTTCTTGTGCAAAAGCCTAGTAAATTTCCTGCATGGACGATGTTGAAAAGGAAGGGTTTTTTTTCTTTTTTTTTAAGGGAAATAAATAAAAAAATTGATTTTAGATTTATATAATTGAAAAATAGCTTTTTATATTTCATATTTTAAACTTAAGTCCAACTTTTTGCCAGTGTATAGTGTATTTTATTTTTATTATTTTTTAATATATCATATCAATCTCAAATTTGATATGTCTATATTTCTTACCATCACAAACCTATAAAAGTGGCAAAAAAATATTTTAAACGAAATAAAGATATTCAAGAACTCACAGCAATTACCATCACAAACCTATAAAAGTGCAAAAAAAATATTTTAAACGAAATAAAGATATTGAAGAACTCACAGCAATTACCATCACAAACCTATAAAAGTGAAAAAAAAATATTTTAAACGAAATAAGGATATTGAAGAACTCACAGCAACTAAGTTTCGACGTTCAAACTGAACCATTTACGTTATCATTGTTCCCCTATTTGAGTCGGGGCCACAAGGGCACAGCCAAATAAAAACTTCTGTTTAACATCAAAAGGAAAATTTCGTCCGAAATGATATTCTTAGAATGGACCACTTGGCTTGAGGTAGGGCTGGCACTGGGCCAAGCAGTTCTGCCCAGCCCCTAAAGAGTAGGGCCCGAGGCTGGGCAAGGGCTAGTGCCAACTTGGTTCGGCCCAGCCCACTTTTTTCTTTTATTATTTATTCATTTTTTTTTAATTGGGCTATGTTAGAAAATGTGATGCAAAATTGTGGGCAATTGTTTAGAGAATTTGGGTCAGGTAGTTGTTTGTGAGATGTTAGATATGGTTGTAAAGGCTTATAAATAGGCACAATGTAATTGGATATAATGCATGTGTATAGCACTTGTGAATGCACCTGTGTAGCTTTAGTGTAGCAATTAAAGTTTGTGTAATTTTTTTTTTTGAATTCATAGTTATTTTTCCAAAATTTGAAGTTAATATCTCCAAAAGAAACCTTGTTTTAAAAAAGAGTAGGTACGTTTTTTAAATAACCAAATAGTTTTAGATGCAGCCACACATATTTTAAAGATACCAACAGTGGTACGAGAGCCTTTCCAAAATTCCAATAGGCTACCCAGCCTCGCCCTATGGTGACAAGGGCCAAGCGAAGGCTAGGGCTAGGGCAGGCCAGTCGGGCCCGATCCGTTGCCACCCTTGGCTTGAGGTTTGATTATATGCTTTCTGAACAAGAAGCCATTGAAAAGCCCAGTTACCTCGGGGAAACGATCGGATCCTCTATCACTCTCACACAACACCCACGCCGTACATATATTGATAAGCCTCTCTCTACAGATAAATACATACCTCCTCTCTTTTTGTCAGCCGATACAATCCCCCCATTGAATCCATATATTCTTTTCTCTCTCTTCCGACATAGATACAAGGCCTCTCTGTCTCTCTAAGCTGATAGATTTCCTATCTGTCACTCTTTGCCCCCTCCCCTTCTTTCTCTCAGATAATACATTTCTCACCTCTTTGTCAGTTGATACATTCCCTCATTGAATCCACAAATTCTTCTCTTTCTCTCTCTCTCTCTCTCCATACACCTTGTTTCTGTGTCAGTAGATACATTCCCTCTCTCTTTCTGTGGAGTCACAGTCCTAACCAAAACCAATACCTGGTGGCTTACGTCGAGAATGGTTAGTTAAGCTTTTTTGATAAGAGCAGATTTCAGTGTTCGATTGCATGAACCGGCCGCAGAAACCGGCCATGGGCTCAGTCCAGGTAACCCGTAACCGGTATGGATAACCGGCTTGAGTTGGGCCGGTGTCGGCTAAGATAAAATGTGTTAGAAATTTTAAAAAAATCCAAACAAATCTAAAACATTGGAACTATACGTTTAAAGTAAGATTAACAAAATACATCTAAATGAGGTTAAAAAATAAATAAATTTTGAAAATTATATTTATAACCGGGGGTTCTTTTCATAATTATCCAAAAAAAATGAAAAATATAAAAATAAACATTCATATCCAAAGTACATTTTAATTTTTGCCAAAATGGTAAAACACACTTCAAAAAAAAAAACATGTTACAAATAGATTTCTTAATTTTTTGAATTTTCTTTATCCTGGAGTTGGACAACCAGTACTGGTTTACTCAGGCTCACCACGGTCGCGAGCCCATACTACCCGGGCAAGTCCGAGCCGACTGGCCTGATTTATTGAACAGTGGTGGAGTAAGAGGAACAGAGAGAAACAATGAGAAACCATACTTCAAACTTTTCACAGCGTGGAAATTTCATCGCCTCTGATTTAATCCGTGTAAACAACATGTTAATGACTGTCAAACTCAAACTCCCAAGTTTTACAAACTCTACATTCTCGTACTCTCTCTCTCGATCCCAACTGCAACACAAACCCTAAAAGTTTGAACCGCGAAGAAACAAATTGAAGAACTGAAGCAGTACTAAAAAGAAGCTTCACATTTTCTACCCTTACAATTCACTCTCCCATCAATATAGAGACAAACTCAATATACATTGACTGTTACAAGGCCCTAAGCCCTCAAATCAGCCATGAAAGACTACAACTCTGAGTTCATCAAAAAAAGAAAGACTGCAACTCTGAGAAACCCGAGTTTTGAACTCCATGCCATGAAACTCCCATTCCATTCTGCTGAGTAGAAGGATCAATTACAGTCTCCACCATCTTCTCTTGCAAACCATTGAATTCGTCGACGGGCCTTGAAGAAGAATCATTTGGGTTTTCTAGAGAGAAAAGGGCCCTGTCACTCCCTTGATGATACCCATACCCATTCAACCCTTCCATTGAAAGGTTAAGAAACGACCCAAAATTTTGAAACCCTAGATTACCTAAATGGGCTGGCCTGGGGTTTGGCTCCATGAAAGAGGTCACATCTCTGCACCCAAAGTCAGACATCAAGAGAGAAGGCTTGCTTTCTTGCAATAAATCAGGCCCGCTAGAGTACCCAATGCCTTGAAATGGGAGGAAGAATTCATGGTTCCCATCTTGCATCACATAACATGAAGGAAAGGAAGGGCTTCCATGGTTAGTTTTAGAGAGAGAAAGAGTGGGTTCATTGCTGTAATTCAAAGTGGGTTTTTGTAAGGCTTTTGTTGAATTGGGCTTTTTGCTTTTTCTACAACCTCCTCCAACCGGTACATTTCTGAGTGCACCTCCTTTGGTCCAATACCTTCTGCAAGTTTTGCAGAAGTATCTCGGTTGAGCATGAGAGTAATTGTTATAGTAGCAAAACTTGGTGTTAGTGGAGTTGCATCTTGGGCAATTAGGGGACTGTGGGGTTTGAGCCTTCAGCTTTCTCTCTCCTAATTGCTTAGACTGTGAAGAGATGACGTCTTCTAAGGGGTTAACCATTACTAGATCGGCCTGTTCCATCAGAGAGAGAATGAATTTGGTTCAATTAGGAGTGAGCAGAAAAACGCATGAAAAGCTTGTCACAGTAAGTAAATGAGACGGAAGAAGTGCTCACTTACTTGTTGCCATTCTAAAGAGTTCATTTTCGACTTGGAGTTGCAGGAGAGAGATTGGAAGTAAGGTAAAATAAAGACTGGGTTTATGTTATTGCTTCTTCTCTATTCATGCCATGGGGTCGAGATTAACTTCATTACTGTCTTGGAAATACTTGATCCATATAAGCTGAGTTAAAATGCAGAATGATCTTCTTTCTGCTCTTTTTATTGGGGGCCGAGAGATCCTTCTTTCCTGTGTCGCCAGATGAGAGAGAGAGAGAGAGAGAGAGAGGAGGTAGTGTAGTATAGTAGACGAACTAAGGTCGGACGTAACGTTAGTTCGTACGTACGTCGTTCGGTCCGGGTACCCTACGTCGTACGACGCGAACGACC